GGGGTTGAGAAATAAGGCAAACATTTTCCAGATGATACTGATGAAGAGATGTCACAAGAGCTGTAACTTGTTCTTTCAGGAAATTCCTTTTGGGAAAATCAAGTTAATGCAAATGAGAAATGTTTGCAGAACAGTTCTAGAGTAAAATATTGGCATAACTTTTTTTGGTTTTCTTGCTTTTACAGAAGACTTTACAAGCTGTATTATTGTTGCAGGTCATCATAATTAAAGATAATTTGTTATTGTCCCTTCCTTATTTGCATAAACAAAGGTCTGTGTTATGAAATTTGCAGGCAAATTTTGCAAGTAGTGTTAATACTTATTCCTTGAAATCACCTTGACTGTAGTGAAATCTCAATCCCTTCTGCTGCCACTCTGTGACAGAGGAGCTCAGCAGAGCTCTGAAACTTTGGGAAGAGGGGGGTGAGGAAACAGCCAGAGCATGGGAAGGTCCAGACTGCAAGAGGAATCCATGTGCCCTGAGGCTCAGGAGAGGAGGGCAAAGAGGGGTTGTGTGGCTGATCTGAAAGATGGGGCTCTTGGTGTAAAGGTTAACTTGATTTCAAGGAAAAAGCTTTTGTTTCAATTACTGCCATGTAAAGTTTTAAGAGGTCTAAATCCARTTGCTTCCCTGGGGAAGATTTTCAGGCCTAAAAGGCAGCATATAATTTCATCTGATGAGGATGCTAAATAGAAACATTAATTATGTCAAAATATCATTTTAAGAGTAAGGAAAAAATAACATTTACTAAGATATGTGTGATTATGTACCTGGATGCACAAGAGTAACAGTAAGTAGGATGACTGTCCTTCCTTTTTAAGGCAACTTTCTTGTTGATTTACACAGCTSTTGCTGATGACTTTAAACAAATATTCAGGAGACGCTAGAGAAAGTTAATGATATAATGATCCTGTTCCTCAATTTCCACAGGATGTAAGATGGCAGCTTGCATTCCATTAAGCTTTTTGCACTAGATCTTATATAACAAGTAGACATAAGTTGCCTTAAAAAGAACCCTCAGGGCAAGCTGTGAAATTATCATCAGCTCAATTTCGGTAACTTTCTGTGTCTGTTAGTGGAACTGATGCAGTAATTCACTCCAGAAACATCTTGCTTTTGCCCAAGTTTCTTCTGGCAACCTTCCTAGCGCTTCCTAAATTCCCCCCAAAATTATATTCTCATCAGGACAGCATTTAAGTCCATATTAAACACACTAATTTTATGTACTCAGTGGTTAAGTGATTCTCTAAGTAGGGAGAGAATCTTCCAGTTTTTCAGTTGTCTGTTCCTATTTTGCAAGACGAAAAACTGCTGAATTCCAGTTCATGTGCATGTGTAGAAACATCTGAGAAAACTGACCTTGTTAAAAAAAAATCTMTTAGTCACTTTTATTGTGTTAATTTAAATTAAATGCACCAATGTACATAATAGAAATTATATATGTATAAAAATAGAATAACCTATAGACATTCAATATTTTTAGGGATGTTTATGTAAAACTGTGCCAGGTTTTTATCTAAATTACAGTGAAAAGTTCCAAGCATGAACTCTTTGGGCACAGATTTTTTAAATCAATTTGATTGATTCTTCAATTTGCTCTTCTACTTGCATACTTTAAGTGCTAATGCATGTTTGGCAGTGTCCTGCTTTGACCTCTTCAAAATCGATGATGGCCCTGTGATAAAACAAGAAGGATTTGTTCATCATAAGTTTCTCTCATCATCTCTTGCCCTGTTACATTAAAAAATCTGAATCTTATTTTATTGCCCGAAGTACACTGAAAAATGAGTATTAGCTTTAGAAAAGGAAAATCTAGTCTAAGTTTTTTGTTTTAAAAAGAACTAGAACTTTTTCACTTTTCAAGACAGTAGCAAATAAGCAGCTCACTGCTCTGACTGGCAAGTATTGGCTGAGTGCTCCAGCATTTAAAAAGTGGGAAAAGAGAATTCTGGAGAGCTGCCTAAGTTCAGGTACCTAACTGTACCTCTTCTGGCATGCTCTTAGTTATTYCCTTACCCCATGTAACCTGCCAGAGTACATGGTGTGTAAATTATGCAGGAATCCACACTGAAATGCTCAGCTTTCAGGAATTCTGCTGTTCTTAGAAGCTTGACCAGGGGTAGCAGTGAGATTTCGGATCATTTTCTTGCCAGTGCCTCATGACCCAAATGCTGGAGTTCAGCTGCAGCTTTATGCTCACTCACCTGTRTGTTTCTTTGTAGATTGCCATGGAGTGTCTGTACAAGTTACTCACAATAATATAAAAAGGAATTGTCAAAATACAACTTTGGATCATGTAAAAGCAAAAGTTAAATATGTGTAAAAGGAAGAAAAATTAAGGGATATAAAATAYTTATATTGTCATCCAAGAGTGTGCTGTAAGCTACATCTTGTTTCCTGAGTGCAAACTGGTAAAATGCATTCAATGCATCATTTTAATCTTATTCTCATTTGTCCACAAACATTGTGTAGAATGTATGAACATTAAAATGGTTTATATATTGCCAACAGTAGCAATATTTTTATCTACTTTTAATAAAAATAGGGAATCAAAATATTGCTGCTTTTACCTTGTGGATGATGAGCTAGTTTGTAGAAGACTGCAGGGAGAGAAACTGATCCTCTCAGATATTACTGGTAAGCTCATAGCCCAGTTTGCCCCTGTCAGAGATGAGAGTTTTCATAAAGAGCACGTACCAGGAGCTTAAGAAGGTCCTGTTGAAATGAGGCAGGGGAACCTGGGCACTTTTTCTGCCCAAAAGGAAGTTCTTTGGTTAAATTTGTGGTTTAGTGTTAAGACAGTTGAGCTGGTAACAATCCATAGCAGTCTGTGAATTGTAAAACAAGTGAGAGAGCCCTAAGTCCCTGATGTGTAGGTTATGTAGTTCAGCTGAGGAGTCAAACCCCCTTCTTTGCCCAAATTCTTGACAGCAGCAGCTTATCAGTGTGTCAATTTTCAGATATTCAGGAGCAAAGTCTGAAAATGAACGCGTAAACTTTAATTCAGTGTGTGGCAGTACCACTGACAGGCCATTGTGATATCCTTGCTGGAAGATAGTTGTACATATGTTCTCCCTCCATTTTTCTTTGTTTCAGAGCCTGTCAGACCATCTAATTAATTTGCTTTGTATTTAGTAGTATTATCTTTTGTTTACAATGGCTTTTCTTCACATCCTCTGCAGGGCTAAGATGTCAGGGTGCTATGGATTTACCATGCATTTTTAATGCTGCCATGCTGTGTTTAACTTTCACTTTTCATTAGGCATCAAAACTGTGAGAATTAAAAGCCTGCTTTTGATGTTCCAATAAAAAACGACAGTCAAATTTGGCATAAGAGCAGGAAAAATGAATTTTTTTTTATAGGCTAATTTGACACCAAATACCCAAAATAGAGGGTGGCAAGTAATTTTAGCATAAATACTATAAAAGATAGGTAAAATTGTGAATATTTGTTTTATAAAGCAGTTTAGGCCATTTTTATTGAGGTTAATGTGTTTGTCACTCTGATACCTTAGCTGTGTTCGTAAATTCCTATGACATGGTCTAAAAAGCCAAGGGAAACTCCAGATATATAACACCTCTCTATTGCTAGAGGATTACTAAAATAATTTCTGAAGCCTCTCCCCTTTTATAAAAGGGGCTCTGAAATCCAGAATTTAAGCATGTGTGGCATGAAAAAACAACTGATTCTGTGAAAATGTAGTTAGGAAAAGAAGTTTCCATCATATAAACATTTAGAGGTTTTGGCTGGCTATTTCACTTCTAGTCTAGGGGGGTGTGTATGTTTTATATATATATATATCTATATAAAATAAGCTCTAACAGACCTTATAGTGATTAAAATCGGAGAGGAAGGAACTTGGGAGGAAGAGTAGGGCAGGGTAAGTTGCTTGTATTTTCATGTACCTCCTGAAGTGTTCTTTACCCACAATATCATGATCTTTGTATGTTTTCTGTTCTGTGCTCATGCCAGTTATAACAGTTTCTTSTCCCTTGACATCAGAGCAGGCACATTGTTAGTGTAAGAATTGCATTACACCACACATGTCTGATTCTGAGAGAGTGGAGAGGTTTATTGGTATGCCAGAGCTTGAAGAAAGCAATGGCATATTAAATTTGGGATCTTTGGAGTTAACAGCACAAGTTGCTGAAACTGCTTTGACAAGTTCTTTTTTAAGCTTTTTCCCAGTTATTTGAATTAGCATGAGGGACTGGTTTGGAGTTCACTGTTTGGTGCAGTAGGAGCACAAGCAGAGGTGTTGGAGCCTATGGTAGCATCCTGGAAAGTCAGAATTCCCAGTTATGTGACAGTGTCAGTTACCTTCTCCAGTTTCTGTCTCTCCTAAACATCAGTTCAAGAGTTTGTGCCATAACTCAGAGTGARCTTACAGCATGTGAAACTCCCACGTCAGTACTGTCATGTGGAGAAAGATGGACATTACCTGGAGCCCATGGAAAGGGCAGGGAGGC